ATCTAAAGAACAGATTGCTCATCCTATAGAAATTCTCTTAAAAAAGCAAACGCACCAAAATATAATCATAGTGTTTCTTTGTAAGCTCTTTCACACTTTGTTCCATTCCAGCGTCCCAGAGTTTGAAGAAAGCATGGCAGAAATAATTTGCTACTTGCCCCGTGTCAGCCTTCCATCTGCACTAAATATACAACGAAGCTTTGTTGGACAACTCAAACTTTTTAGCCATTACAACATATGAGAACAAACACTTTTGCTTGTAAATGTTATCCTGGCTATATCCAAGACTTGGGTTATTGTTTTTGAGCCTCTGTAATAAGGGATAAGTTATCTTAAGCATATCGTAATGTGTCGTGTCCGAATACAAAGCTTATTTGGAAATTAGTATTTTAGCATTACCTAAAGCCTATGGCGATTGCATTGCGGAAAGGGAGAAAGGCAATGTAGCCCGAACATGTATTCGTAGCGCCGCAATCTACAGTGATATTTAGTACCTGAATTTATTTATAGCTAAAACCCAAAAAAATGCGAAAACAAGTAGTTGAATGACACCATCGTTGCAGCCGCGTCAATGGTTCTAAGGCAAGGTTGTGGATCACTTGCGTACGCAGCAGCACTTAAAGGCATCATGATATTTCGGGCGACATTTTCGTCGTAGCTACTCTGCTGCGCATATGTTACAATGATTTGGGAGAGGACGAGTAGAATCATTCTGAAGAGGTAAGAGATTAAAGACTTGTGATTTTACCTTATCTCAAAAAGCGAATCTCTAGTTTTGCACTAAAGGGAGAGAAAGCTGTACACAATTGTACATTAGTTAAAAAATTTCCAACGTAACGTCTTGCAGTATTCTTCCTTATATACATTCGCAATAGACACCTCGCTCTAAAAAATCCTATCTGAGTATCTCGCAAGACTTAGCATGCAAAAAAATATGTTGGGGATCACAGATCTTTCCACAGGTTTTCTTAAACTCCACGAAGAACCGATATCTTTCCGAGTTTTTGGAATAACCTTTTATGAGAAATCGTTTGTAGGCGAGTATATTAACAACAAATTGTAATATTCATAAACAAATCAAAATAAACAGTCTCAACTGCTAGAAGAAAATACCTTTGATCAAAGGAAAAAGGGAATAAAACGGAAGCTGCTTTTTTTGATTATCAACCCTTTTTCCTAAGCCACAGAGTAATTGCATAGCAAAGATATCGGTTGTGGTTAACATAACTAAATGACCATTTGAGGGAAGCCCTTCCCGATAATCCTGTTTTTTAGAGACGGCTAGAGGCATCTGCAGCTCTATTTGGTTCGAAATCGTAGAGCACTTTATAGGCATCTGCAGCTCTATTTGGTTCAAAATCTAGAGCGCTAAGTCATAGCAATATTCAAAAAGAGTCTGAAATTGAGCTTTCTGATCTTCTTTAAATTGCGCATCCCATCTTTCTGAGAAGAAGTGGAGCAGGATGCATAAATACCATAAGGTGTATGTACAGTCCCTCCCATTGTGCTCCAAGCTTATATCTCTTCAGACGGACGTTTTTCGCTTCTTGATCCCACTTCAGGTCCTACACCCTTCCGATCCCTTCCTCGTCTTCCGTGTCTCTACTTCTTTCCACGAGTGTGAACCTACCCAACTCTTGATCACGAACTAGCGCCTACACAGTCAATAATGGTGGTTCACAAAGGATATTGCACGACCAGCTGCATGTTCACTGTTTACTATTTTTGAGGACGTGGAATACTTTTAGGCAATTATTTCAAATGATTTGAAAAATGTGCCAAAACTTTTTCTCACCTTTAAAAGTGAAAACAAGATTCCAAAACATTCAAAATACTACTCACAAGAACAAGCTTAATTTGTGATCACTTGGCTTTAAATAGATAATACACTATGATTTCTCGCTCAAAAAAATCGTAGTTCGAAACAAACACTTGATTAAAGCTACTACAGCAATTCATACTTTTGCTAAAAATCTTATAGTGCGATAGTAGTCTATACTTACATTTTATGAATGGATTAACTAGTAAGAAGCCTTTGTCTAATCATTTCCACACGATAAA